AAAGTCTCTCACAAAGTCAGCACGCGTGATGTACCTTCATATTTTCTATATGCATGTATTTACTATATCCTATTTATATTGCTTAACAGTATAAAACGGTGCAAGTATAATCCTGGTTTAAAAAAACAAAACAAACATTTTTAGTCCAGCAATGTTGGTTCTTGGACATGTGGATGCTGGAGACCTTTCTTTGAAATGACTTCTCTATGGATTCTGTTGCTGCATTTACATAATATCTGCAGAGCATAAAGAACAGGGAAAGTGTTCATGCATTAATCCCAGATTGTTACCCCTCGCTAGTCTTTTAATCACATCATTTAAATAGGCTAAATTAGCTACTTTTTTGTACAGCTTCTCTGGTGAAACCAAGCGTGTATAGCTCCTTTTCAACAGCTGAATTGATTGTATTCATGTTAATATCAGATTTTATCTTGATGTAACTGCCAGGATTGGAAGCTTTACAGCCATTTTGCCCCAAATCTGTTGAAATCCACATTATTCCTGACTCTAAACAACAACTAGGAAGATGAATGGTTTTTCTCATTTATAATTACATTGTGAACAATACACGGCTGTGGCATGTTTCTGTGTTTATTGTATTTCCCAGTGATATGAGACACCTGTCTCAGACATGTCAGTTGGAGGAATGCTGAAGCAGCCACACCACAAATTAACATTCACTTTGCAAAGAGCTTACAAAGAACAGCTTATACCCGGTTAAATAAAAGTGAACAGTGCAGGCTGCCTTCTCTTTCTCTGCTCCAAATACTTTGAAGGGAGAAGCTAAATTTGTATCATTAGCCAAATTTAAGACCATGGTAAATTCCTTGACATCTGTCTCATTTGCCACGTCTCTGCAATTCTTGAATTAGTGGGGCATTTTAAATGATTTGTAGTGACTGCGTTTTTATGTGATTGCAATGTCATTATGTGGTTTTGTTGTATTTAACTGCCTGCAATTGCAAATCCCTCCATTTTGTTGAGGTCTCTCTTCTAAAAGGGATTTGAAATCCCAATGGAAGTTTCTGGTTACATAAAGGTTGAATTAGAAAAGCAATAAAAATATGACACATAGTGATTATGAAAAAGATTTTGGACACTTACTGTATAAAAATTCATCATTTTGCACAATACCTCTACAGCTTGAGTCACAACTGTAGCTTCTGCACCTGTAAAAAGCAACACATTGCAATGTGAGATTATTAGCAGTAACACTAGTTGTTTTTCTCAACTGTGGGAATTTTAAGGAGCCTTTATAGAGCATCATTTTCACAAGTGGGACAGTGAATTGGACAGTAAAATGTTGGCAAGTAAATACAGCAAACTCACCTGTGTGGGTTCACCATGCAGGACACCAAAGAAGCCTAGATGTGCTGAAATAATGACTCTTTAAAATGGACAGCTTTCCCCTCTGTTTCAGCACATAATCCAACAAGTTTTAACAGTGTGGCAATCTTGCCAATTTGAGTCATTTCTATAAACTGTAGCTCTCAGGTAGGAAAGGAATAACTGCAAAGCAATTTGTAGATTGCTTTGAAAAATGCTACATAAATACGTCTTTACTTACAAGTCTCACATACAGAGAGTTGGTTTTGTGGCATGATTACTGATATTTTTGTACTACAGTACATTATATTTGACAAGAGCTGTATATAAATAAATTACAGTTATCAACACTGCAGTGAACTGCACTGCCCCGCAACAACAACACAATGAACAGCTGAAACACAGCACGACGAAAACCACATCCCGAGCTCTTACTGCATAAAAAAAAACAGCAAAACTGCAAAAGCACAGCTTTATAATGAGTATGTCAGCCAAACTGCAAGAAGTGCAACAGCAGAAAACAGAGCTTCTGAATAAGAGTGACTAAAATGACATGCAAGACCCATAAAGAAGAAGACAAAACCGTGGAGCTCGTTTTATGTCTCCCAGCTGGAAGAAACTCAAGCAGCACAGCAACAAATATGTTTAAGTGCCAAGAAAACGTTGACAAGGCAGTAACCTATTAGACTGCAACAAACAACGTCAGCAACAGCTTTCGTCAGCCTGAAATAATTCTTCATCAAGCACCTGAGAGTCCGCTGTCAACACAACAAGCAGCGGACATTTCTCAGCGCACGCGTCCACGGCCGTTTGCACAAAGTCTTTAAGCGTTTAAGGGATTAAGAGTACGCACACATTCGCACTCTCACACAGGTGTGTTGGCAGGTTCTGATCAGCGAGTAATTTCCAGGGCCAACAGGATTATCAGTGTATGTTCTGGAGGATGGCAGGGAATCAGCCTTCAAGTTAACAAACAGTTAGCGTAATTGGGCTTCATCTGTCATCTCACACAGAGCTGTGGAGCGTTTGAGTCCGAGAGGGAGAGATTACTGAAGGGACAGTGATGAAAATTGGTCCGAGGATAATGAGTCTCGTTGTCTTTTCATTCCCCACCCCCACCGCCCCATTATTCAGAGTGACTGGTTGGAGAGGAGCTTCACAGTCTGCTGCTTATTAAAAAAACCCAGAGCGCCTTTAGACGAGTTCATCAGGCTCTCCACCCCTCTTTTCCTTCTATCCCTCCATCCTCCCGCCGACGTCGCATCCTCTCATCCCCACAATTTTTCCAACCCCCCTCTTCCCAGTTTGAACTCCTACATCCTTCCTCTCCGTCTCTCTATCCCTCACTCTTCCATCTGTTTACTTTTTCCACAATCCTGCAGAGTAAAACAGCGAGAAAAAGAGGAGGAGGAGAAAGGAGATGAAACAGAGGTCCAGGCAGAGAGAATCAAAGAGGAAGCCAGTACCCTTTGTGACAGATGAAGCTTGTGTACAAAAAGGGGGCTTTCTCACATTTTCCTTCTTTATAGTTTATTTCCCCAGTACAGCCCATCTCCTTCCTCCGTCTCAACAATCCACTCCTCCTCCTCCTACTCCCCGCGCGTCTGCACCACCGTGGCAGATTGTTGGGAATCAATAAAGACGGTTGTTGGCAGATGAAAGTTGTGGGGCGGGACGGTAGCTCGCTAAATCCTCATTTTACTTCACACAAATCACTGCCTGCATCCCACCGACACGTCACGGCTACATCCTGCAAAAAACAATTAAAAACTCATCCAGATGCACTGTAGGGAGCAGCATGATGGTACTTGCATAAATACGCATATGGTGTGCGCTGACAGGCAGGCACGGCACAGTACATGGGATTTGGACAGTATGGAGACAAAAAGGAAATAAGAGAGAATGGGGGAGGATTGATGATTGTTGTTAGAAATGAACAGGTGCTGTGGTCCTCTAAAAAAATGTAAAGCTGTGAAAGTAAAAAAAAAAAACAACTGTAAGATGATACTTCTGGTAGAAGTATTCAGAGGATATATGACAGTAAAGACGATATGAAAACGATGTGGACAATATAATACTTACTTTGAAGTAACAGTCCTGCTTTCAAAAACTCAAACTGTAAACAATGTCACATCATCTGCCCTTAAGTTGACATTTTTAGCAAAATGTTTCTTATTCACACATCCTGGAGCAACATGAACTTCTAGTTGGAGTTTGGCTTCCTTATGTCTGTTGGTGGTCTCTACTAGACTGAGGGAAACCTCTGGTTTTTCAGATGATAAAAGCTCCACTCTGTTCACCAGCTAGTTGTCTCTCTCTCTGTCTGATCAGGATGTGTGCAGTGGGTCTTTGGAGCTTTGTCACTGAACACAGCTGCTTGCTGGGACTGACAGTGATGCCATAAGAGCCACAACAGTGACGTTGTGGCCTAGAAAGAAACAATGAGCTGAAAGATGCTAAATGTCTTTGTAAGGTCAAGTGGAGCTGCAGGTTCAGGAGATAACTTTTGGGACACACTGTAGTTTGACAGATTTTATTTAAGAAACAAAAAACAATTATAGCCACTTTTAGTAAAAGTACATAGGCTAAGTATAATTAATAAAATGTACTTAAAATATCAAAAGTTCCTATGTTTCTGAATGTCTCCTTTCATATTGTTGTCATATTAGTTATTTACAATGAAAAGGCCTCAGTTTTTTCAGTATTACTGCTTATCAACTTCAATGGAATTGATTAGTGACAATACAGAGTTCGTTATATTATAAAAAATGGAGTTAATAATAATAAACTAATTTTAATTATAAACAACTAAAGCTAATTATTCACACAAGTTTTCTCATATGTAGCCTAATGTATAACAGTGGAACACAGTTCATTATGTTGAAAATCTCTTTCATGTGTTTTTGCCGTAGTGACATATTATTACTGAAAAACATCACACAATGTTATCATACCAACATCAACAGCTGGATCTACTACTGCCAGGTCCTTATATGCTGCAGTGTACTTTAATCTGAGCAATTATCACATTTTAAAAGCGGAAATGTTTTGTGTTTAACATTTTAATCTTTCAGGTCATTAGTACCCGTAGGGGACAAAGAAGTAGCAATATACTGTAGTAATATTTCCCTCTGAAATGTAGTGAAGTATGTAGTGAATAACGTACAGTTACTATAAAATTGAAGTACTGAAGTAAACTACCTCAGAGTTGTACTTCAGGACAGTATTATATACAACAATACTTACCACTGTTGCTGACAAAAGTTCTTCTTTGTGCAGGAAAACGAAAATGTTCACATGAAGCTTCCCCCAGTGATGCCCAGCTCACTGACTCGTGCTATGCCCAAGAACTAATCAATTCATTAACACCAGAAGCTGTGTGATTTGTTTAATACGCTTTTGTCACTGTCTCACATACATGCACACATGCTGAATCTCAATATTTAGACAGTACATACAGTAGGATCCATAACTCATGG